GTGTCAACCGTGGTGGCGTATTTGTTGCAGGCTGGCTGGAACCCTCACTCCCCTTCAGAGTGGGGTCTGCCCACTGACAGCGGGCAGGGGCTACATGCGTGGAAGTTCTACGATGATGCTCTGTGCTCGCTGGACCAGGCATATGACTTGCTTAGGGAGTTCGAAGGGCCATTAGCTTTGCGGCAATGGCGCGAGGCCTCGGCCTTGCACTGCGGCAGCGGCTTGGGGGACGGCGCAGACCTTCTCAGTCTGCGACGTTTCATCGGTAATTTGTATCATGTTGACAAAGGGCGACAGTTAGCCGAACTCATGCTGACCATCGCCGTCGGAGGAATGTGGACGAATGAGAGGAAGCGTGTCGCCAATGTTCCAGCCAGCGACACTTGGGATCGATGCCTCGAGGCTACCGAGTCGGACATCCACAGGACCTGGCTGTGCAAGTGCAATCAGGGTGGCACAGTGTTCGAGCAGTCTGATTCCCTCGTCCCCGAAGCGATGGTCGATCATGATGCTCATTCATGGTTTTTGGAGCCGAGGAATCATTCCAGCACGCTGGACACGAGTTTCTCCACCCACGTCGATCGAGATATGGTCAGGAGGCCATATCGAAGCAGGTCCAGCATTGTTGGACCACGGCACAGCCGCGAGTCCGCTGTATGTGTTCGGAGATGCGTCGGGGGGACCTGACACACACACACACACACACACGATGTACGGTTTATGCGAACTGTATTAGCAGTCTGTGTGATCCCATCGTTCACGCCCTTTCAGGTTAGCGCCTTCTTGATGGGGCCGCTGCTCGGAGGAATTCAGACTGTGCCAAAGGGTGAGATATCAGCACTCGAGCTCGCCATCAGATGCAGTTCAGGAGTCATGATATTCGTCACCGACTGCGCGGAGGTGAGTCGCGGTTGGTGGGGGCAGTTGTATCGATACCCAGCGGGAGTGCACGCTGGGCTACGGCGTCATATCGGACGGCATCTGCAGGATCAACAGCGCGAGCCGTCCGACATCATAGTGCTGCAGGTGCCGTCCCATGTGGATGCGGAGGAGGTGCAGAGGCGCGGGCTGCAGAGCTCGATGGTCCAAGGCAACGTCGCCGTTGACCACCTGGCAGGAGTGGCTGGAGAGGCCGCGCGAGTACCAGCACAAGAGCGATTTCGAGTTAAGATGGTGGAGAAAAAAGGCGATGCTCGTCAGGCGTCGCCTGTTGAGGGTTGCGTTGTGTTCCATCCAACATGAGGCCGAGCGGAGAGCCGCCGCCGCAGCGGCAACCCGAGCCGCTCGGACGGCCCCGCAGGCCAGTGTGGATGGAGGTCTTTCACCTGCCCCTTCCCCGCCTCCCGCTCTTCGTCCTCCCGCTCCGTCTATCATAGCTCGCTTCGCGACCGCGCACACCCTTGCCGAAAGTGGTAAGTTTTGCGTTCGCTGTAAAGGGTCCGCCACGATAGCCACCTTGTCCGACTGGCTAAAAAGCGACTGCGATGAGCTTGTTAGTATGGACGGTAGAGTTTCTAGGGTGAAAAGGGGGTGCCTTATGCATATCGCTGGTGGTTGGGCCCACCCCTCTCACGCCATAATGTATCATCACATGTTAGGAATTTGGTGTTGCAGTGTGCGCGGCTACTTCGGACAGTCTCAACTCAGGGGACTAGGAGCCGAATGCAGGTCCAAGACTCGTCGCGAGTATCTGGAGAGAGTCCAGCGCGGCGAGTTTCCCAAGTGTAAGTGACCTGAGCCCCGAGCCTCGAGCAATGGCTTGAGCAGAGGATTCATATATTTTCGCTACGCGAAGGCGATAATTCCTGTAATTCCTCCTCCTCCTCCTCCTCCTCCTCCTCCTCCTCCTCCCCTCTCCTCCTCCTCCTCCTCCTCCTCCTCCTCCTGCTCCTCCTGCTCCTCCTCCTCCTCCTCACTCCTCCTCCTCCTCCTCCTTCTCCTCCTTCCCCTCCTCCTCCTGCCTCCTTCGCCTCCTCCTCCCCTCCTTTCCTCCCTTCCTCCTCCTCCTCCTCCCTCCTCCTCCTCCTCCTCACTCGTCTTCTTCTTCTCCTCCTCCTCCTCCTCCTCCTCTCCTCCCCCTCCTCCTCCTCCTCCTCCTCCTCTTCTACTCATGATCCTCATCCTCCTCCTCCTCCTCCTTCTCCTCCTCCTAGCCTTCAAAAACCATGCTGTGGTGGCAGAAGGGTCCTCTCCGATGGTCTCCCCCCGCTGGGTGCTCTTTTTGACGGGCTCGTCGGGGTTCTCTCTCTCTCTCTCTCTCTCTCTCTCTCTCTATATATATATATATATATGTGCGTATGTATGTATGTGTATATATATGTATGTGTATATATATATATATATATATATAGGTGTCTCTCTCTCTCTCTTTCTTTCTCTCCCCTCGGTGGCATGCGATCTTCTCCCCCCCCTCCCTTTTCCTCATCCCTCCCAGATGAGGGCTCCTCCTCCCTCCTTCTGTCTGCTCCTGCCTCTTCCTGCCTCCTCCCTCCCTCCCCTGGGCACGCGCTTCGAGATCCTACCTCTCTGGTCCTGGCCTTCAGCCCCGGTTCTGCAGGCCCCTCAGCCGTGGGCGTCTCGGGAGATGTCCCGATTGGCGCCTCCCAGGGGCGCCGACGACGGAGGGCCGGGGGGGAATGGCTCAGGGTGGGGGGGGGGTCCTCGACCTCCGGCCGGTTGCCCACTCCTGGCCGATGGGCCCCCCCCGGCGTCCCGGCCAGTCCAGGTGCGAGGGGGGCGTGGGGGGATCCCATCGGGAGCCCGTCGGCGATCCGTCGGCGACGCATGGTTGATTCCAGCTCATTGGTGCTCCCCCTGGCTCCCCTCGGCTTTTCCAGGCTGCCCAAACGGTGGCGAAGCAGACGGGTTCGGTGGGTCGCGCAGCATCGCCGCGGCATCGGCGATGCAGCTCGATGTGGAGCCCGATTTCTCTACGCCGACGTCGCCGATGCATCGCCGACGTCGTCGACGCATATCCGATGGATCGACGATGGATCGTCGATGCGGCGAGATCCTCCGACCCCATCTGCTTTGAGCCTGTTTGGGCGGCCTGCAGCTTCTGCCAGGATCCGAGGCCCCATGGGTCCTCGCGCGGACCGGTCCGGCCCCGAGAGAGGCCGCAGAAGGACTGGGTCGAGACCTCCCCTCGTCCTTCTCTGGCGGACCAAACCTCCAACGTCCTCAATGAATCAGGGCGGAGGGTTTTGGCCGCTGTCGGTTTCCAGGGGCCGTTACCGGGCTCAGGGACCGTCATAAGCGAGTGGAGACGAACGCCAGTCTCAGGGAAGGGGTCGAGACTCTGAGGCCCGAGGACAGAAACATCTCGACATCCTCTAGGGCGACGAGTTTTGTACATATACACTGCTCCCTGTCCATGCCCATCTTGACCCCGCCAGCGGTGTATGTGTGTGTATATATATACACACACGCCGCGCCCTCCTCGCTTGGCCAGGAGGGCGTATACACAGCTGCTGAGTTCAGGATGGGCCTGGCCACGGAGCAGATGATATGTACAGATCCCTTCGCCCTATCCTCGGCCGTGATTGTTTAGCATCGTGACTCTCCAGGGATCTGGACCCCTCCCTGGGGACCAGTTTTCACCCGGGGCGCTCTCTGACGGCCACGTGGCCCGGGAGGGGCCCCTCCTCCTCCTCCTCCTACTCCTCCTCCTCCTCCTCCTGCTCCTCCTCCTCCTCCTCCTCGCCCTCTGCCACGCAGGCCCCACGGCGCGACCCACGGCGCCTCGACGCCCTCTGCGCGCGGGCCCCCTCTTGGGGCACTCTTGGGGCGCTCTTGGGAGCTTTCCCAGCGCTCTCTTGGGGCCATCTTGGAGGAGATTTAACTATCGAAGAAGATCAGGGAAGGGGAGTCGCTTCTTAGCGCTGCCCCTCGAGAGTGCCTCGAATCGCCGCGCCCCCGGGGGCCCCCCGAGGCCCCTTGAGCCCCCCCGGTGGTCGGCGCTGCGGCCCGAGCTCTGGTGGGGTGTGCCGGCCCCGCGGCCTGCGAGGCCCGCTCGCCCCGAGGCCGAGGCGCGGCCACGGCATCGGGCGCCTCGCTCGTGGTCGAGGCGCTGGGCGTCTGGTCCTCCTCCTCCTCCTCCTCCTCCTCCTCCTCATCCTCCTCCTCCTCCTCCCCATCCTCCTCCTTCTCCTCCTCCTCCCCTCCTGGAGTCTCAGAGGAGGCCCAAGAGGCCCCCCAGGAGGCCCCCACGAAGGCCCCGAAGACGCCCCAAGAGGCACCCCGAGAGAGCCCCAATGAGCAGACACCGTCGATCTCAATCCGATGAGAGATCGTCGATTTCGTATCGGGAAACTCATACGGCTGCCCTCCGCCCGTTCTCCCCCTCTTGGGGCCTCCTCGGAGGCCCTCGTCGCCACCGTCGGCTTCGCCCCGAAATTCTGGTCAGAGCCCACCCCGGGAGAGGTCCGGGGAGTGGCGGCATCGGTACCTTTGAGTCTCCCCCTGGAGGGAGCGCGTGACCCTGCGGGGCCCATCTCGATCCCATCGGCCCGGCTCGACGGCGATCTTGGGATGGCCCGGTGGCGGCCCGGAGAGGCTTGCGTGGCGCGGCTGTGCCTCCTGGCGCGGCGCTGTTCGGTGCCGACGCCGAGCCGATGCGGCCCAGTGTGAAGTCGGGCCTGTCCCTCTGCAGGAGGAAAATCTTAGAAAAATAGTCAGAACATAGTTCGGGGACGATGTTTCTGCCATGTTTGATCATTCTAGGGGTTCTGCTTCATTTCGTCGTTCAAGATCCGCCCGTAGGGGGAAATGCCCAGACCTGAGCCAACTGCGACGCACACTTCGAGTCGGTCCGATCTGCCGCTTCGATGCCGTCCGATCCTGGCGTGGCCCGTGCGCTGCGGCCACCATGCCGCCGGCGCCGCCGCGGCCGCCGCCGTGGCGGCCGCCGCCGCTGGCTCCCCTCCAGCGGCGGCCCTTGGCGCCGCGGCCGCCGCCCGCGCCGCTCTGGCGCCGCCCCCTGGCTGGCCAGGCGCAAGGAGGCGTACGGCGAGCGCCTCTGCGGCAAGAAGGACGGCGTCCCGCGCACCATCGCCACGGGCGAGTTCGTGCGCGGAGGCGGCTCCCCAGCAATCAGGAGGGGAAAAACACACACAGACACAGACACAATTATTTGTGTGTCTCAGGGCCCCTTCAAGCAAGTGTGGAGACGTTTCCAGTACAGGCAACCATGGTGGTAAGGGTGGGGCAACTTTCCAAGGCTACCCTTCCATCCTTGTCCCTTCGGTCTTCGGCATCCTTCGGCATTCTGCTGCGTTCCTCACGGAAAACGTCAACATGGCGTTCAAGTTCCAAGGCCCTTGCATCCTTACCGCGCATCCTTACTATCCTGGTCGAGTGTATCTTCTGGCGATGGCACGCGTGACTGGAGGTGGGAGGGGGGAGGTGTCTGCTCCCGTCACGATTTGCGCCGGCGCCGTCCTGGAGTGCAGGAGTGGCTCTCTTCCCAGACGGGGCCAGTGCGGATCGTGACGTGACCGTGGGCGGGGAAGGGGGGGGGGGCGGGGCCGGTGTAACGGGCGTTATCGCGAATGACCGAAAATAGGGTTCGTGGCAGCCGGGCCCGGCGACGAGGGGCTCGAGGTGCCAGGTTTTCGCCGGTTCTGGGTGTCTTTTTTTCAGCCTCGGGGTGCTCTCCAGCAGCTGCGCCTCGCCGCCAGGCGTCCAGGGGTGCCCAGATCGACCCGATTGGCCGCTTGACCCTCAGGATGGAAAAGAGCACACAGACACAATTAATCGCCGATTCCCCAGAAAATATGTGAAAATATGGGAAGTGGGGGGGAAGACAGAAACCCCGAAAATATGGGAACATATAGGGAATCCTGTTATTTGTGTCTATTGATTTGTGTGTCCCAGGGCCCCGTCAGACCGGGAAAACAGACGGCGAGAATCACTCGGATCGGACGAGGATCATGCCGCATCGCCGATGCATTGGCGATTCGGATCGAATCGGAGCCCGATTTTTTCCATCCCGACGTCGCAAGTACATCGGCGACGTATCGGCGACGGGCTCGGAGGCGCCTCTGGCGCTGGGACGTGCCAGGAGAACCAGCCACGTGAGCTGACTCGCTGAAGCCCTCTTCGCAATCCTCCCCTTCGTCCGCACCGAGATTGTTAAGACTACGACGCAGCGCTTAAATCTACCCAGACGATTGTTCCCGCTCCTCCGTTCTGGGTTCAGATTAACCCCTAGAGTTTTTTTTTGTTTGTTTTTTTTCCATCGCCCGGTAATAACGGGCGTTACGTCGGGGAGAAGTGTGGTAACGTCACGATTTGCCGGTGACGTCTGGGAATGAGCTACCCCCGGACGGCGCTGGCGCCATGCGTGACGCTAATACGGGGGGGGTGCGAGGGGGGGGCGACCTCGGTAACGGGCGTTAATCGTGAATCGTTTGCAAGCGAGCTGCAAACAGGGCTGGCCGTTGATTTGGCCTGGGTAACCAAACAGCTTGGATTCCTCTCTGATACCCATGGAGAGCCGATGTCTGGATGTTTCTCAATGCGGCGTCCCCAGAAGTCCCGACTCTTTCCCTTGCGCTGGCTTTCATCCCGAGCCGCGCTTTGTGAAGGTCCCTTGGGGAGGAGAGGCCGAAGACGGGGAGAGTCCTCCGCGGTATTTCCTCGATGCGTTGGAGGCCAGGGAGCCACATCACAACTTCTCCGCGGGCGACCTGTGTGCACCGTGCCGCGTGACAGGAAGCAGGTGGAGCGAGCAGCAGCATAGAGCGAGGAGAAAGGGGAGGGAGAGGAGAGGAAAAGAGGAGAGTCGAGAGAGGAGATAGTATGGAAAAGAGGAGAGTCGAGAATGGCGATGGAAAAGAGGAGAGTCGAGAGAGGAACTAGTATCTGTGATGACGATGGTGGTGATTCTGCTACTGGTGCTGGTGCTGCTACTGCTGAAGACGCTGCTGGAGGCTCGATGGTGATGATGACGATGATGCTTATGCTGCTGATGATGATGATGATGATGATGATGATGATGGTGGTGGTGGTGGTGATGATGATGATGAGGATGAGGAAGAGGATGAGGATGAGGATGATGATGACGATGATGATGATTGAGAGTGCGACACATTATCACTGTCCGCATCGGAGTCCTCTGCAGCTTTTCTGGCTTGGGATGGGAGGGCCCGGCCCGCTCAACGCCCCTGCCGCTGCGATTGCGGCGCTCCTCGGTGGCCTCACCGGCGGCTGGTGGGCCGGGCCCGAGGCTGCGGGGCAGGGCTCCTGCGGGCACGTCCTCGACTGCCCGCCTTGCGCCTGCCCGGCGCCCTCCTGCCCCACGCTGTCGTGCCCGCCGTCGGCGCCCTGCCCGGCGTGCATCTGCCCCGCGGCGGTCTGCCCCGAGGCAGGTCTGCCCCTCGCTGGCCGCCTGCCCGGCGGCGGCCGCCTGCCCCGCCTGCAGCTGCGGCTGGGCGACTTCGGCCTTGTGGGCCGCCGCTCTGGCCGCTGCGACCCTCGCATTGGGTCTCGCGGCGGCCTGCCGCCTGTGGTGCCACGGCCGCTGGGTCGGCACGGCGACGGCGGGGGCCTCTTTCGGGGGCCCCGCCACGCCTTCCGCCCTGGCCGCGGGCCGTGCGGCGCCGCCGCCGCTGGCGCTTGGCGACCGCGACGCTGGGGGTCCTGGTCTGGCTGCTCTCGACGAGCCTGACGTCTGGGCGCCGCGGCGTCGCCGCTGATGGCTGCCGTCCCGCAGGCCCTCGATATCGAGCAACACCAGATCGCCGAGGCCTTCGACGACGACCCGAACTTCAGGTGGCACCACCGCATCCTCCTGGTGAAGATCGGGGACGATGGCAGGTGGGTGTATGCTACTCCGACCCGCGACGTCCAGGTGCGGAACCTCTCGACGTCGCGCGTCGTGCCGCTGGTTCGTGGGTGCCCGATCCCGGCTCGCCTGCGCGGGAACTTCTACGGGTTCGATCCGCTGGGGGAGGACGAGTTGGCGGGCCTGATGCAACAGGCACACGCCCTGGCGAGCATCTTGGGTGGGGCTGCGCCTGCTGCTGCGGCCTCGGCAGCCGTCTGGTACGTTGCCGACCCCGCCGACGAAGACTTCGGCACCACCGTCGAGGTCGCCGTCTCCTCCAACCCCGCGCGCTTTGTGTCGCGGGGGCATGCCGGGCTCGCCAGGATGGACGACCAGAGGTGGGTGGCAGTCGAGAGGCTGCTCCCCGGCGACCTGGCGGCCTGGAAGGAGGAGCAGCAGACGGGTGCCGGCCGCGACCCTCGTGTGCTCGCCATCAGCCGCGATGCGCAGGACGCCCGCTACCTCGACTTCAAGGAGGGCCTGGCGTCCCTCTCGGAGCTGGCCGTGAAGGCGGGCCGCGACGGGATGATGACGGCCGAGGCCAAGGACTGGCCCTTCCGTGGGCCCTCTGCGTCGCTCGAGCTGCCGCGCGGGATCCGCGCTTCAGGAGAGTCCTTGGAGAGCTACCACTCTGCGTGGGCCAGGTCGTCGGGAGTCAGCGCCGAGGCGGGCGTGGCCAAGCATCACCAGAGCCTCGTGTCCGTGCTGCACCACGCGCTGTGCTTCGACCAGCTCGAGATCTTCCAGAGTGCTGCGATGGAGATGCTGGCTCGGCGCGTGCTCTACATCGAGCGTGCGGTCGAGAAGTCGCCCAAGAACCCCGACTTCCGGGGCCTCGAAATGATGGTCCACAGCCGCCTCGACGGCGGCGCCACCCTGGCGGTCGGGGACTTCGCCCGCTTCATCGCCGACGAGCAGAAGACGGAGGCCTTCGCGCCGAAGCAGCAGCGCCTCTACGCCGAGGAGAGTGGCCGCAAGAAGGGCGGCAAGGACAACGAGTAGGGCCATCGAGGCTCTCCCCCTCGCACCTGGCCGTCTGCCTCGCAGTGGTGCTGCCGCTGCTCGGATGGATCGCCGTGGTGCTTCCCGCTGGCAGTGCGGTCTGTTCCCGCTCCCGCGGCCCAAGTCATTCTTTTCTTTGCCCGGCTCAGCGTCGGGACGGGAGCTCGTGGAGGCCGGCGCAGTGGGCGCGTTGCAGCTTGATGCCGCCGCCGCTCTCAACGCTCTGGCCGCCGCGCGCGCCCGAGGGCCGCCCAGGCCGGTGTGGGCCAGCCGCCTTCCCCACGGGCGGGAGCTGTCTGACGCCCAGCTCGCGACGTGGAGGCGCCTCGCGGACGTTGCCCTGGCTGCGGGCCCGAGGCCACTTGAGTTCGACCTCTTCCCCTCCGGCGCCTTGCCGGAGCTCCTCGAGGCAAAGGGCCTCTACGACGCGGACGTGCCCCTGGCCGTGGCACCGTGCGACCCCGACCGCGTCTCCGTCACCTCCAAGCGGCTGCGCCCGAAGGGCGCCCGGCTGCTGGTGGGCGCCGACGCGGCCCGCTACCTGGCCGACCCGTCGCTCATCGCCCTGGGGGAGGACCAGCTGGAGGGAGTCGAGCCTGTTCGTCCACACTGGGATAGGCGCCTGGCTTCGAACCCCCGCCTCCTCCGTGACTTCGTGCAGAAGCTCGCCGACTGCGGCCTCATCTGCTACAGGACGAGGGTCGCCGCCCGTTGCGGGATGTTCTTTGTCAAGAAGAAGTCTGGGCAGCTCCGCCTCGTCCTCGGCGCGAGGCCGGCGAACGCTGTCCACCGCCGGGCGCCCTGCGCCAAGCTGGCCACCACTGGGGCTGTGGGGTCGCTCATCCACGACCCGGGCTACGTGGCCGCCGCTGCCCTGGACGCCGCCGGCGCTGACGGCGCGGCTCGGCCAGCCGCAGCTCGGGGCGCGTGCCGCTCCAAGGAGCTGTGGGGAGGCTCCATCGACCTCCAGGACGGCTTCTACCAGTTCCTGGTGCCCACGGTCTCGCACTACTTCGGCCTGGGGCTCCAGGACACCGCGGGGGCGCTGGGGATGGACACGGTCTTTGACCCCGACCTCGGGTGCGACGTGTCCGTCGCCGAGGACACCCTCCTGGAGGCGTGCTTCGCGGGCTTGCCTATGGGCTGGAGCTGGGCCCTGTTCTTCTGCCGCAGCGCCGTGTGCGAGGCTTGCCGTCGGGCTCAGCGTTCGCTGGGGCTTCCCGAGTACCTCTTGGGGGACAGGGGG